GTCATTCAAGCCATCGAAACCAACAATTGGTTGGATCCGTCCACGACAGAATACAAGAAAGTGAGTGACGAACTGTCAGTACATAAAGGAATTATACTTCGTGGACACCGAATCGTAATGCCCACCTCCTTAAGACGCCGGACAATCCATCTCGCACACATTGGTCATCAAGGAATCATTAAAACCAAACGCCTACTCCGCTCGAAAGTCTGGTTTCCTAACATCGACAAGATGGTCGAAGAAACCATTCAGAATTGCCTCCCCTGCCAGGCTGCTACTTCGCGCAACCACCCTCCACCTGAGCCACTCAAGATGACCCAGCTGCCATCCACACCTTGGAAAGAAGTTGCAATGGATTTCCTGGGCCCTTTTCCAACCGGCGAATACCTCCTAGTCGTAATCGATGCGTTTAGTCGGTTCCCCGAAGTTGAAGTACTCACCACGGTTTCCGCAAAAGCTGTCCTTCCAAAGTTGGATGCAATATTTTCACGACAAGGCCTTCCAGAAGTTCTGAAAAGCGACAATGGCTCACCATTTAACGGTGCCGAGTTTGAGTCATACGCCAAGCACTGTGGTTTTACTCACCGCAAGATCACGCCATACTGGCCTCAAGCAAATGGAGAGGCCGAGCGTTTTATGCACACACTACAGAAATGTATTCGGGCTGCAATCATCGAGAAGAAAAACTGGAAGCAAGCGATGAACCAGTTTCTCCTCAACTACAGGGCAACCCCCCATTCCACTACTAACATATCCCCCTCCGAAAGCCTCAACAACAGGAAGATAAAGACAATGTTACCGGAGATGCCCTGTAGTTCAAAACCAGAACAGAAAGCAATGGCTGAATATGATGCTCGGAAGAAAGAACAAATGAAATCTTGCGCAGACAACCGTCGGGGTGCCAAAGAAAGTTGCATCAAACCAGGTGACACCGTCCTTTTGAAACAGCCGAAGGAAAACAAATTCAGTGCTCCATACAACCCTCAACCTTTTGTCGTAGAAAAGAAAAAGGGAACAATGGTCACTGCCAAGAACGATTCAAAGGTTGTCACACGAAACTCCTCGCAATTCAAGGTGATCTTAACCAAGTCAGCCAAACACGATGACAAGGAAGTTGAACCAAAGGTTCCAAGACCATCAAACCCCCAAGAACAAAAAACACTTCAACAAAGACCGAAACGGAACGTAAGACAGCCAGCAAGGTTTGTGGACTATGTAAACTATGAACCAATGTGAACCAAATGACAGTTCGGACAATATCACTGTCCACAGCATATTAGTCAAAGGAACAGTGACTTGGACACGTTAATGTTTATATTAATAGATGGAACTATCATCTGACAAAGGGAGGGATATAATATAGTTAATAAGCTCATTGTTGTTTTGTTGCCTTGGCGCGCAGGTGGACCGCGTGCGGGGTCTGAGACTAAGACTTTTTGGCGCCAATAGATATAGTTTTATTAGTTAGTTTTGCATGTGCATATATACGAGAGGTTATCAATAAAAGTGTTTAACTACAACATTACATATGTAACAACATATAAAGGCTATACGACACTATATGGCACTATACAACGTTATACAAAACTATATAACAATATATAAGGCTATGCGACACTATACAACGTTATACAAGACTATATAATAATATATAAAGCGATACAACACTGTGCAATGTTATACGAGACTATACAACACTGTATAAGGCTATATGACACTAAACGACACTGTGCAACATTATACAACAGTATACAAGACTATACAACACTATAATTATAAGGCTATACGGCACCATACGACACCATACAACGTTATACAAGACTATACAACAATACATAAGGCTATATGACACTATATGCAAGACTATACAGGGTGTATCAATAAAAACGCAACCTCGGAATTTCCTAAGAAATCACTTTGCAATTCTTAAGAAGATTTTAGGCCCCTGGGAATTGAAATCGAATTGCTAATAGATCATATTACTGTTGTTGTGCATTAAATAAATGCATAAATTTTGCTTTATGCACTCGCGTGTGCAGTAATTTTGACAGTTATGCTATTTTAAATTCCCAGGCGCCTAAAATCTTTTGTCTTTAAAACAATGTCGATTTCTTGGGAAATTCCGAGGTTGCGCTTTTTTTGATACACCCTGTACAACGCTATACTACACTATGTAGACGACTATTATACAAGACTATAGAGACTAAACAACACTATACAACGTTATACAAGACTATACGACACTATACAACACTATATGTCATTTCGATGTTTTCCTTCGTGGTTGAGTTAATAGTTATATACCCTGTGCCTGTGAGCAGAGCCTTAATATCAAGTCTTCAATCATTTTCACGTTTTTCTTCGTAAATTATAACAACATTTGCCAACATTGAACATGCCTGCATCATTCTGGCATGATATTTAAACGTTCAATATAAACTTATTACTAATAAGTAAACATTGTCAATACCTTATACTAATAATTGGCTAAAACGTACCAGCAAAAAATAATTTTCTAACGAAATTATTGTCTTTTATTTGTGAAGAAATTATCGTTTTTTAGTTTTTCATCTTGGCGGAAAGTACATGCAGAACGAAAGCTTTACGGCAACTTACGAACAATTACCGACTGACAGAAATCCAAATTTCTTCTATATTTTGAATCAAGCTGCATCGTTAAAACTCGGTCAAGGAAACTGGCACGAGTCATAACGTCAAAATCAGTTGTCAAGAATAGTGTGCTTCCTACGGCAGCAATTACGAATGTGCCTTTTGTTATTTGCATGTGGGGGTGGGGGTGGGGAGGCTCATACACTATCCGGGGCAACCAAATTTTAGCATCTAATATTTCATTTCCACCAGCTCCCCCTCCCCTCCTTCCCTGTAATTAATGAACGGTCCCTATTAAACAAGGCGTAATATTTTGCTCGTCCTTTCGTTTTATCTGTCACTCATATAGGTATGTTTCCTAATCTCCGTGATATAGGAAGATGCATGTGGTTAACTATGTATATATGTATGTGGTTATAACTGTTTGTGATTAAAGCCTGCCGCACACGAGAGCTATCTGCTGAGCAAAAAGTTACTCGTGCCTGTTAGCTCAGCCGATAGCTCACCGATCAAACATGTTTGATACGTGAGAAAAGGTTGCATGAGGCAAAAAACTCAGTAAAATGTACCCGCACACGGTGAGCTATCGGCTGAGCTAACAGGCACGAGTAACTTTTTGCTCAGCAGATAGCTCTCGTGTGCGGCAGGCTTAGCTGGTTATGTAACTGATATGTATATTTATATATTTTCAGCGTGTATAAAAAAAAGGTAATCGAACTTCAGCGCGCTATTGTATCTGAATTACTTTGCGTATGAACAAGATTTTTTTCATATTCGGATAGATCAGGCTTTTAGCTGTTGAATGATATGTTCTTCATGCCAAATGGATAAAAAATGAGCAAATACGAATCCGATAAAAAATGCAGTGCAGAATCGCATATTTTCACTGCTGAAAGTTGAGTCTCAAACCATTGAAAATTAACCCCCTTTTGTACTTAAGGGCCTGTTCATATGGGCAGAAGTTATCGCGGTTAGCGGGAAAACTTTTCGACAAGTTTACGAGCGAGATCTCGCCTTGTTACGAAAATAACATGAAAAGTTACATTGCGTTCATATGAGAGGAAAAGTTTTCCCGTGTACCGAGATCTCGCTTGTTGACAGGCGAGATCTCGGTGACCGGGATAAATTTCCCCATATGAACACAACTTTCCCGCTTAGCGGGATAACTTTTCGTCGTGTCAGCAACTTTTCAATTCAATTGATGTTCAATTCTACGTCACAGCCGGAAACTTTTCCCGGTAAGTGTGATAATATTTCTTCATATGAACAGAACAAAAGTATTTGGCTGGGAAATTTGTCTGAGCATGCGCGAGCAAAATGAGTCACGCAATTGAGTGGAATACACGCAATTGAGTGGAATACACGCAACGCGTGTTTACAAAAAGGCACAGTCGTGTAAATATTGCCAAATGTTTGTACAAAATAAATGACTGTTTTATGTTGAAAATGGACATGATCTAAATTAATCATACAGAATTTTTTAGTGACGTTCTATTTCAGTACCCTGCCATTGTCTCTGGTGGGCTGTCCGTGTGCATTCGATCTGAAACAGTTGCTACTTTGCTGTCGAAGAATTTCGAATGTTTACATGAAAATAGAGGCAAGTCATGCATTTCACACCTCTCAAACTGTATTAGCCCCTATTTTTACGCTTATACCTAAGATATCAAATAAAAGTACATGAAACAGAGAACATTTGTAGAAAGTTTTATCGTGAGGCCACGGCCAGTTTTTAAAATATCATTATTTCTGTTCCGGTCATCACCAAAATTACACAAAAGCCGGGCTTGAATATACAACAAATTTTGAATCTCATCAAGCACAAAAATACTTAACGTGTAACCAAAATATGCTCATGAAATCGAAATTAATAGCTAAATTTTCAAACTAGACCCTTCTCGAAGCGGTTTTGACGAAGGAAGTTCACATTTCGGCCTTTGATTCTTGGCAAAAATTTGACCACAACACGTGCGAAGCAACTGGGTCTCAAAGACTGAACTAAAACATTGTGAGCCCCTATTTTCCTGACGATATGTTTGATACCTACAAACGCCGAAAACTTTTTTCTTTTCATTCAGCTATATTTGAAATTGAGGCCACGGGCTATTTTTGAGAAAATACAGTTCAAAGTCAAGCTATTTTTACATATTTTCAAAATTTGTCAAATTTCGCGAGCTTGTATTTTGAACTTAGACAGCTGAAGTTACATTAAGAAACATAGGATGGAAAATTTGAGGCATATAAAGTTAATTTCAACTTACATTTCATTCTCAAATCACGTCTTTCTTCGTTTATTACGGTTTTAAACAAGCCATAGATCGACGTATACGGTATTTACTCCCATGTTCACGTCGCCATATTAACTTCTTCCAATCACGCGATTACAAAACAATCATCCCAAAACAAAGAATTCATGATCGACTTTTAAAAGAATAACCAATAATTTGTAAATTGTTGACTGGAAAGCAAAATATCGCTTCTTGCTAACTTTCTGCTTTGTTTTGAATGTAAATGCAATGAGCTTTGTTTCTGCCCGCAATTTTTTGGTCAGCGACGACAAATTTCCCACCTGTTATTTGGCTAGTCGAAAAGTTCTCTCGTTAACCGGGATAACTTTTGCCCATATGAACAGGCCCTAAGTGGATGAATTTCACTTCAATAAACCACACAATAAAGGAATAAATCGTAGCTAAGCTATGACAATTCGTGGTTAATTGCTTTTTCTTTTGTTATGCACTGCTTTACAGTGCGTCTACAGTAAGTGGGGCCACTTAGAGAACACTAACCAATCACATTGCAGAACAAAAAGAAAAATCTAATCAAACTAAAGCTCGTCCAATCAAAAGAAAGATTCAGGAAGAATTAACTGCAGTGTTTACTTTTACAAGTCTATTTTTACCGTTTGACATTCGTTTATTTGTTAAAATTGTTTTTGGCCTAATGCTGATTGGCTAATGCGCCGTTTGTTGATTTCATTAATTTTTGTTCTGCAATGTGATTGGTTAGTGTTCTCTAAGGCAGCGTTTACACTGTACCGTTTTCGTAGCGTTCTCGTATTGTTCGAGAGAACTAGACTATTGTCTTGCGTTCCCTTGGGGATTAAGAACAATACGAGAACGCTACGAAAACGGTACAGTGTAAACGCTGCCTAAGTGGCCCCACTTACTGTAGACGCACTGTAATTGGGCACAGAAGTGGATACACAATGTGTATAAAAAAGTATAGCCTTTCAAATTTAAATCAAGCATAACGCCGTATCAGTACAGAGTGTATAAAAAAACTGAACCCTTTCAAATTCAATTAACTATCCCTATAACGTAATGCAGTCATTCGACAGCTCTTATTGCTTTGAATTAATGTTGGGTAAGAACACAAGGTCTTGCACTCACGGGACAAAACTCAAAGAAATAAAAATTAGAAAATTTGAATGCCCTAGCACTAAGCTGAACGCAAAGATGCGTAAAATATTGACAAGGGTGCATATATTAAATATTGACTTATTAAGAATTTAAAATATCTTTGTAAAATGCACGATTTTCTGCTCTTGGGAATCTAAAACAGCTTCTTAAACGGTTTCTTTATGCATAAAATTTACTTACGTCAAGCTTTGATGCACGTGTGGGTTCATCAGAGTGCTGAGGCACTCAAATTCTAAAAATACATTTATTTCAATAGTTTTCGTGTTTTTTTGGGACACCCTGTATGTCTTTCAAATTTTCTAATTTTTATTTCTTTGAGTTTTGCCCCATGAGTACAAGACCCGTTGTGTTTTTTACCCAACATTAATTCAAAGCAGTTAAAGCTGTCAAATTACTACAATACGTTACAGCTAATTTGAATTTGAAAGAGTTCAGTTTTTTTATACACACTGTATTGAATTCATCTGACAAGCTATCCAATTGCTTCAAAAAAGTTAGCGAGCCGTATTGAAACAAAAGACTTTCCAGGCATTAAAATACAGAATTTTTACAAGGACACACTTTGCCTTCAGAGGCGTATTTTCGGCATAAATGTGCAGACTCATGAGAATGAACTCATGAGAATGAGGTGTATTTTCGGTATAAATGTGCAGAATCATGAGAGTGAGCGTCGAAGACGCGAGATTTTAGGGGGGTCTTTGAAATGGCATTTCCAGAATTTTGATAAATCTTTGGCCATTTTGAGCGGATTTACAGAAATTCTTGCGCGGATTTTCAAACCAAATCCATTTTGCTCGGATCTCTACAATTGGAAGAATTTTAGCGCGGGAAATTAATTTCCTGCAAAGCTACTAACTTTACTGCAGTCTGGGTGGAACGCAAGTTTGAGCATTTTCGTTAACCCTGGTTTTCACTAGCCGTAAATTTAAGCGTAAGCATCACAGATTTGCTGGCACAAGCCTAAACGCAAGCATAAAACAGAAGTTTAACAATATTAAAATCTTCCTTTCCCTTACGCATACGCCTTACGCTTATGCTTGCGTTGCAATGAAAACCAGGCTTTAAAGTTTTCATAAACAGAAGAACTACAAACTGAAATTGAGCTGAAATTACTGTTTTATTCGTCGTATACTTTATACAATCTAATTGTGATAACTTTTAAAACAAATAATGGTAAATAAACCTCTTCACCCAAAAAACAAAATTTTACTTTACAGTCGTTATGTTCTGTCGAAACTATCCTGGCATTTTACTGTTGCTACGATATCTAAAACTTGGGTAGTCGAAAATATCGATTCTTCGGTGAACAAGTACATCCGAAAATGGCTGGAAGTACCTATATCTGGAACACTAAGTAACGTTTTTCTAACCCGTAATAAGTTTGGTCTAAATATCCTCCCTGCATCAGTCAAATTCATTCAGTGTCAAACAGTTCTACGCAATGCCCTAAAAACATCTCCAAACGTTTCAATAAACGAACTGTGGAAGTCAACTAATAATCATACTAACGTTCAATACGATAGCTACAACTCAACTAAAGAAGTTTTAAAAACTTTCCAATCTCAACAAGAAAATAAACTTAGGAACCGTTTGAAATGTCAAGGTTCCTTTTTCGAAAATGTTTCTAAATTCACGCTATCACAACTTAACGCAATCTGGTCGGTATCGCAATCAAAGCTACCAAAGAACATTTTCAACTTTACAATTCGTTATATAAATAATACCCTTCCTACCCGAAAGAACCTCAGTAGATGGGGAATTTCATCAAGTTCTGACTGCTCGTTCTGCTTACACCCTGAATCACTTTACACGTTGTTGCCAGGGTCTTAGCTAGGACTTTAGATCTTGGGCGTGTTTCTAAATGATCAGGGTGTGCACATGTCAATTACCTTGAATAGCCAAATTCACGGTTCTAAAACAACGGACAATGCCTGTGGTTGTTCTATGCTTTGCAACCAAATACAAGGCGAGCATATACACATATTGCGCACTGCCATTATGATATTAAGTTATTTCAACAACTCTTGGGGGGTATTTAAAACCTTTCGGTTCCCATTATCCGTCAAAACATTAAAACATCACGGATCACTTTTGCCAATTTCAACAACAACAATAGATTTTACAAACTTTCTTATGACGTAAATAGAAAGAAATTCTGTCTGTTGTAAGTAGCACCATCTTATTTTATGAACCTACACGCCCTTATATAAATAATGAAGCCGCGTTCATTTTATCTAGCCGTGTTTTTCCATTTTTGGCCGCGATAACACGGCCAACACGGCCCTCTAGCTAAGACCCTGGTTGTTGCCGGTTGTCAACAGGGCCTTTTTTAACATACAAGCTGGGGGGGGGGCAATTGCCCCCCCCCCAGTCCCCCCTTGTGCCTCCCCACAAAATCACATTTTGCCCCCCCAGGAAAAGTCCCTTTTCGCTAAAATTATAGAAACAAACCAGCGAAGATTAACAAATACATAAACGGAAAGTAAGTTTTAGGCTTTATCCTTTGTCCTTGTTTAACAAAATCGATTTAAATTGTTACTTTTTTCTACCACTAAGTAATGATAAATTATTGTTAATAATTTTTTTATTTTTTGGATGTTCAGAATGCAGGAAATAGCATTTCCAGGTTTCAAATTTCAAAAATTTTCTGGGGATTATCCCTCTAATAAGTAATGATAAATGATGGTTAATTTTTTTTTTACATTTTGTGCGTTTTTTCCTTTATTTATTTCAAATACAAATATAGTTAGCATAAATTTTGGAGCAAATTTGGATGCTCAGAATGCAAGAAATGACATTTCCGGGATTCAAATTTCAAAAATTTTCCACCCCCCATTCATGAGCGGTATATTGGCGACACACGTAGCCTTCAGCCATTGCTATCCCAGTCCCTTTCAAAAATACCTACAGGGAAAATCCTTAAAAAAGGCCCTGGTTGTCAACATTACTTGGAACGATTTACCTGGAGACACGATTGCATACTAAACTTTCTTGCAAAACTTTTCAAAGTTTAAACGAATGCAAATTATATGTTGATCTTCCTGGATTTGAAAGCCCCTCGATTATTACAGGAGATGAATATCGTGCTGATTTACTTGTCTCCACTTCAGACAAACACCTCTACGTTGTTGAACTTACCGTAGGCTTTGAATCAAACCTCACAAACAATGTCAACCGCAAGAAAGCTAAATATAAAAACCTAATTAGAGAACTGGATCAAAACTTTACATCTGTTAAATTTATAAATATTTCTGTCAGTTCGCTAGGGGTGTTTGACAAAGAATGTCATACATTCGTAAAAATGCTAAATGAGTTAGGACTGGATAATCAACACCAACAATAGTGTATCAGAAAAATTATATCAATTGCCATCCGATCAACGTATTACTAAATTTTGCTCAATATCGTAGAGGCTTTTCAATACCTAGGAAGATACTTTAGTTTTAATATGTCAGACGAACACCACAAGTCTGAACTAATCTCACTCGTTGAAGAACTAATGGCAGATATTGATTCCAAACCATCACATCCAAAAAATAAAATCCTCCTCTACAGTCGATATCTTCTGTCAAAATTATCCTGGCATTTTACATGCAGTTTCTAGCGTATCGAAAACGTGGGTCACCGAAAACATTGATTCCAAAGTCAACAGTTATATCCGTAAATGGCTTGATATACCTATATCTGGAACGCTAAGCACTGTTTTCCTAACCCGCAGCAAGTTTGGCCTCAGTATTTGTCCCCCATCTATCAAATTTATTCAATGTCAAACTGTTCTCCGTAAAGCCCTAAAAACATCCCCAAACGTAGTAATTAACGATCTTTGGAAAGCAACTAGCAACAGCAAAAATATTCAGTATGACGTTTATAATGGTAATTTTTACGAGTACAAATTATTGTTAATGGACGATACTCAATGCGCTAGACCTAAAAATTATAGATTTAAAATGTCTATGTTAAGCCAACTCGAAAGCTACTATTGTCTAAACAAAGGAAGACTCTATCACAGACTTTCATTATTTGCTTGCCAAACCCGTAGGCTACTGCACCCAGTATCGTTTATTAATTATTGTCCAAACCACTATGTTTGACGTATTCATAACTACAACAATGAAACTATAGTTAAACATGGGCAGATATCCGAGTTAGCTTTATCTGCCTATATATCATTCTTACTTGGATTGCGAGCTGTAAAGACTGATTTAAAAAAGTTATTTAAAAAGTTAATCGTTTCACGTTTATCATTTCTAACCGTCCACCAAAAATAATGCCAAGAGTTAGCAAACCACGATCACGAGTTCGTCAGCAGGATCAACGACCATCCAGTATTCAACCATCCGTCGAAGTACCAAGCAATTTGGGCGAGTTATCAATTTTAGAGTTGAAGAACCTTTGCCGCGAACTCAACTTTTCCTGCGCTGGCGGCCGACGGGTACTTACAACGCGTCTACAAAACGAAAGAGAACGTCTAAGCACGAATACGCCGCAATCCAACATTCAAACCGTTCCAGTAAACAACACGTTATCTAATTCCAACGCAAGGGAAAGCTTCAGCGCCGACCAACTGGCACAGATCACGCAGATTGTTTCGCAGTCGATTTCGTCTTTCTTCGAAAGCCAACACGCCATAACAACCGCGACTCGTGTAGATGAGCAGCCAACTATCCCGCCACCGCCAACGCCACTCGAAAGGCTAGAACAGCTTGGTCAATTTCCATTTTTAAGTTCCAGCGAGCTCCAGCAGCAGCCGACTTCATCCCATGGACCTGTTGCCTCAATCCAGCAAGCAGATGGGGGATTCACGCCAGAGATTCCAAACAAATACGTTCGTGACATCGAAAGTGGTGAGTTTTTTGAGCTTGCTAAATTATTACCAAAAAATTTAAATAAGTTAAATGTTGGTTCCGATTCTTCTGACAACGTGGGTTTCACAATTTCCTCTACGGGAATCTCATTAACACCGCGCAAGCCTCAAGTGCTGACTAACATTGAAGAGTGGACAACCGCTTTCAACACGTATATGTTAATCATAGTACAAACATTTCCAAATCGTGCATCAGAACTTTTACAGTACATGGAAACCATCCGTCATGCGGCAAAAACGCATGGCGGTTTAGGCTGGTGCATATATGATCATAAATTTCGCTATAAAGCCGCCGCGTGTCGAACATTGTCGTGGGCCAACATTGACATGCAGTTATGGTTGCGTATTTTCACCGCTAGCTCTACTCAGTTGCGGGAAGATTATTCCCTTTTTTCTAACGGACCCTCAAACAAAGCTGGGGCAGCGAGGGACGGAATTTGCCACCGCTACAACAGGGGTAGACCTTGCCCATTACGACCCAATTGCCCTTACACTCACCGATGTAACCGAATTGGCTGTGGGGGGAACCATCCTGGGTACCAATGTCCACAATCCCGTGGGGAAAACGATCACAACGACGACCACCCTTCACAATCCGCCCGTAGCTCCACGAAGACCAACAGAAAATAGAACTGTTAGTTCAAAGTGTAGTATATATAATAGCAGTAATTCAATACCTTTAGATAATACTATAGTTACGCCAATTCGCGTTGACGCGCTTGAAGGTGCTCTTTGTGGGCATCCCAATTCATCATTTGTTTTGAAACTCTGTTCAGACTTGCGTTTCGGTGCTTGTCTCGGTTACGATGGTCCTCGCATGTCAAAATTTTCGAAAAAGCTCAAGTCTGCCATTGACAATCCAACTATTGTTTCAACTAACTTAGCTAAGGAAGTTGCTCTTGGCCACACAGCTGGTCCTTTCACCAATCCGCCATTTGCTAATTTACAGGTTTCGCCAATTGGCATTCTACCTAAAAAGCATTCGGATAAATTTCGAACCATTTTTCACCTCTCGTTTCCAAAAACGGGAGAATCAATCAATTCCTTTATCGAGAAAGACGACTTTTCATTGCAGTACATAAAAATCGACGACGCAATTGCGGCTTTAATCCGATTAGGCAGAGGCACTTATCTAGCTAAAACTGACATAGAATCTGCTTTTCGTCAATTCCCTGTTCATCCTGACGACTGGGAGTTATTAGGCATATATTGGAACAAGTCCTATTATTTTGACAAAGTGTTGCCATTTGGTCTGCGTAATGCGCCGTATATTTTCAATCAACTTTCGGATGCACTTGAATGGATTTTACTCAACAAGTGTTTTATAAGCTATGTTGGGCACATTCTAGACGATTTTCTCATCATGGAACCACCGGCCCAAACTGGGCTACCTTCTCAAGCATGCCAAACTAGCCTTTCTAGCATGTTGCTAACATTCCGCACGTTATGACTTGCTCCGGTCCTTATAATTCTTCAACAAATCTTTGCCGATCAGATGTAAGTTTTCATAACAAAAAACGTGGGGATAACGAGGTTTTTCTGCAACTACGAATTAAAGCGTCAAAAACCGATCCGTTTCGAGCCTCAGCCACAATAACCATTGGCAGCAATTCTGGTATATATTGTCCAGTAAGGGCCCTTCAAACCTACCTTTCACGTGCGCCAACGGACTATGCGGGACCATTGTTTTGCTATTCAAACGGTGTTCCTTTATCACGTAGTCAATTTACTAAGGAACTACGAACACTTTTGGCCCAAGGTGGTCATCACCCTGCTCACTATGCAGGCCACAGCTTTAGAATCGGAGCGGCTACCACAGCTGCGTCCCAAGGTTTGCCTCATTGGCTTATTCAAACGCTAGGAAGATGGTCTTCCGATTGTTACCTCAGGTATATTCGCACGCCAATCAATGTCCTTACAGACTTTTCAAAACGATTGATTGCAGAGTGAAATAAACACTCGATCGTTGTTTGTCGGTCTATGGGGATCACACACACTATCGTTGTGTGATTGTGGAGGCAATTGCTCTAGTATGAGGTCGCAATTTTACCATAGACCTCACGTTTTCTTTACGGAATTTGGCAACCTGGCATACAGCCAATTCCCATTTACAAAAAATCACTTTATTTCTGCATATGAGTATATGTGCTGAGCCAGATCAGTGTTCTAAGAAATATTTCCCTGATCATTTTTTCCCAGGGCCCAGCTCAGAGTATATGTCTTGCAGGGCAGGCTAGGATCCAGCTCTAAATGGAGTATATGTTCTAGCCGACTCAGGACCCAGCTCTAAATCCGTAAAAGTATATGTATTGGGCAGATTAGGACCCAGCTGCAAATCAGTATATGTCCTAATCGACTTTCCCCAAGATCCAGCTTTTCAATACGAGTATATGCCCTGGGAACCGCTCAGCACCCAGCTCTTCGCAGATAAAAAATACAATATATAGAGCAGTTGTCCCACACTTCCATAACCCCACAAACCTTGTGTTCTTATGCGTGTCGTTATATTAAATATCTCAATATATATATATTTATTAAAC